CTAATAGAACTCAGTTTCTCCCCAAGTATAGTGGTGCCTTCAAGCTCAAAAGGGACTCTCATCTCTCAAAAGAGGGTTTTACTCTGCGAGTTGGCAGGAGTTCCCAAACCCCACTCCTGCATACCATGACCCCCCCCCATAAAAAGTTTACTTCCTGGTTCAGAACTGTCACTTCCCAGCCTCTCGGTTTCCTCTTTACTTCCTTTTCCAGGGCCCGCAGTCCAAGGTCTTTTTTCAGTCGTTTCGACAAAGAAACTTCAAAAGCAGGGCACATTGACAGACTTCCTGGCTAGCTGAGCAATTCCTCTCATCCCCCCCCCCCCCCCCCCCCCCCCCCCCCCCCCCATCTTGGTGAGATTCCCCCATCAGTAACTACACTACGCATCTCTGGAGCCGGGAGGGGGGGCACAGAGAGGGGGGCTCCCCCCCCAACACCGGCCCCAAGCCACACAGGAAGTTGCTCAGGTGAGAATTTCAGGGCCTCCCCCCACCCCGCCCCTCCCCACGCACCATTCCTTCCTCAGCTGAGGGAGAAGAGAGTGCCTCTGTGGAAGGAGTCCCTCTATCTCTTCCCAGAACAAAGTTCACACATGCATTTGGCCCTCAAGCGGCAACATGCTTTTAAGCCTAAGCGTTCTTTGCTCTTATCCCCAATCCATTTCTGCGAGAAATGAGCCAGGTCCTACATCATATTGAACCTCTAGCCTAGCGCCTGAGGCCCCCTGTACTCTCCCAGAGGAGGGAACCCACTTTTTAACATTTTTAATGTCTATTTATTTTTGAGAGAGAGAGAGAGAGAGAGAGAGCACGAGTGGGTGAGGGGCAGAGAGAGGGAGACACGGAATTACAGTCACAGCGGGCTCTAGGCTCTGAGCTGTCTGCACAGAGCTTGACACCGGGCTCGAACTCACGAACCGTGAAATCGCGACCTGAGTGGAAGTTGACTGAGCCACCCAGGTGCCCCTGAGGGAACCCACTTCTCAAGCAACTTCTCTAGGAGCCTTCATTCACCCTGCCTAACCACCCAGGTGCCCGGGGGGGGGGGG